CTACAACAAAGAAAACATAAATATCACAACTGATAGATTCAAACTATTGGCTTTTGCCAATACAACATCTTACCAACTTGTTTTTGTCATTGTTAAATGCTCTTAAAGCAGGTATGACTCATAGAATTCTATGAACAAGAAACTTGAATCTTGTCTTATCCTGTGCCATCCAGGTTATCTCTGATACACTAGAGCCCATTGCTGCAGTTACCATAAAATTTGTCATATTAAGGATCTTCGTTTCCTTTACTGACCCCTGCCTGCTATCTTTCTAAGAAGGGTATAACTTTGCAAGGAAAAGCTTCTCCTACCAACATGTCCGAAGTATGAAAGATGAAGTTTCATCATCCTTGTCTCCAAGGAACAATGGCTGCACCTTTTCCAAGACATACTTGTTCATTATTTAGGCAGTTCATGCGATATTCAGTACTCTTCTCCAGTACCAAAACTCAAAGGTGTCATTTTAATTCTACAATTCATTTTCAATGTCCAGCCCTCAAATGTGCAGCAAGTGATTCAAAAGATTATGGCCGGGATCATGGACAATGTAGCCTTCAAAGAAACATCATGCTCTTCAAAGTTTTGGAGAGGTTCCCGAGAGCAGACTTTTCCAAAGCAATACATTTTCTCATCTCCTGACTTCTGGTAGTAAGGGTGTTGATTATTATCCAAACAGAAAGAAATCCCTGTAGGCCACTGGATTGAACTTTCAAAATATTTCATTAATATTTTAATATTAGGTCCACTTGATACTGTATTACAGTTGTTGTGATGCTGAAGCCTGTGACAGTGATGTGCCAATCGTGGTAATGGGCACCCATGGTGGACAGGGTTGACTGCAGCTTCCCGACTAAATCAATCCTGGAAGCAGGAGCGGCATCCACTTCCAAAATGGCTTGCATCCGGAAACTCTATGTACGAACAGTGCTCAGGCTGTTCATTCATAGGGTCGCTATGAGTCGTCTACGACTCGACGGCATTAAACAAACAACAACAATACTGTATATCCTATCTAGTTTGTCAGTGATTTTTCTCCTATCACTTAATAATTTTAAATGAAAATTAAAAATAGTGTTGCTAAAACCCTAATCTAGACCATATCCATTAGAGTTTTATTCTTTATTGGGACATAACTATGCTTAGACACAACAGTCTCCTAATAATTTAACATTATGTTATGCAAAACTCTAATAATGTATACTATCTTTTACATGTCCAATTGAATGCAAGAGATCCATATTTATCCTCATTCTAATGTGGAATTTATGGGATGTGAAAATTGTAGAATAATATCATTAATATCATATGAAAGAAAACTCCTGCTGAAAATGATTTAAAAATGACTGGAACAGTACATCAACAGCAAGAGAACTACCATAAATACAAGCTGAGTTTAGAAGAAGCTGTGGTCTTAGGGACATCACAGCCAATGTCAGATGGATCTTGGCTGAAAGCAGACAGTACCAGAGGAATATCTATTTGTGTTTCCCTGGCTATGCAAAGACATTTGAATTAGTGGATCACAACAAATTGTGGCTAATATTGAGAAGAATGGGAATCTCAGAGTAACTGATTGTTCCCATGTGAAATCTATCCTTGGATCAGGATCCAGTTGTCAGAACAGAGCAAGGTAACATTTCATTGTTCAAAATCAGGAAAGAAATGTGTTAGTTATGCATTCTTTCTCCACATCTTTTCAATCTACATGAGGAACAGATCATTCCGGAAGCTGGAAGCATGTAGCACCAGGATTAGAGAAAGATGCAACAATAACCTGTGTTATGAAGATGACACAGCCTTGCTTGCTTGAAAATAAGGAAGACCTGAAGTATTCACTGCAAATGGTTAAGGACTACAGTCTTCAATACGGAAGCTCAACATCAAGAAATCAAAGATTTTCACAACTGGTTAAACTGGCAGCATCATGATAAATGGAGAAGAGATTGAGATTGTTAACAATTTAGACTTGCTTGGTCCCATAATCAACACTCTTTGCACCAGCCATTAGGAAACCAAAATACAAACTGCATTAGGAAAATGTGCTGCCAAGGAACCCTGCAGAATGTTGAAGAACATGATTTCAGTCTAGAGGCTAACGTTCATCTGATCCATGCCATGGTCTTTGCAATTACTTGCCATGCATTAGAGAACTGGACAATGTGTCTAAGGATGACAAAAGAAGAATTGATGCCTTTGAGTTGTGGTGCTTGAAAAAACATACCATGGACTTTATGAAAACAAACAAATTAATATTTGAGGTGAAACCAAGTCTCTCCTTGGAGGCAAGGAATGTGAAGCTCTGTCATACATACTTTGGGCATGTTGCCAGAGGGGAGAAGTCCATGAGGAAGGATATCATGCTTGTAAAAATGGAGGGACAGCACAAGAGAAGAAAACCCTAGAGGGGAAGGATTGACACAGTAACTAGCATAATAGCGGTAGGTGTGTTGGAGACAGTGAGACTGGTTTCGCATAGGACAGGACTCAGACACAGCAATAGCAACAATGTTCTTACTAAAGTTTAGATAGTTCTTATTTTTCTAAAGAGAGTTTTGTGACCTTATTTAAATTTTTAATTAAAGGTAAGTGGACATTTACCATGAAAATTTTACAATTAACAGAAAGTTATATATTTCTGTAGGAAAATGGAGCTCCATATCATTAATAAGATAAAAGAGTTGACTATGGAACAGACATTTGATCTTTCATATGCCAGTGCAACTAAAAGGTGACCCAAATAAAATATAATTTCAAAGTGCCAACAACTTTGTTGATTATATACCACATGAATTTAGAAAGCCTCTAAAATACTGATTTTTATGGACTGACAACAAATGAGTAAAGATTACATGACATCAAAGATAGCACATATGAAGAAAACAAAAGTTTTAAAAAAGACAAGAAAAAACAAAAGAGAAAAACAAAAGCTAGAAGAGAGTTTAAAGCTTGCTTTTAAATGTTATTGTTGTTAAGTGCTGTCGAGTTGCAGGCAACTCATAGTGACCCTATGAAGGAGAGTCCTCGATGCCTGGGTGCTTTCATCCTCTGTCCAGGTTCATAAGGTTTCTGGAGGCAAGCTATTATGGAAGTGGATGCCACTCCTCCTTCCAATATTAAATATAGATTGCCTAAAAATGTGTAAGAAATGATAGAATGAAAGTGGATAGACAATTTCAAAGATAGCTCAAAAAGTCAAAGTAAAGTACAATAATCAAATGTGAAAGGCTTAGAGTTAGAAACCAAAAAGTGAAAGAATATCTTGCATTTCTCAAACTGAAAGAATAAAAGCAAAAAAAAAAATTCAAACATCTATCTAAAGATTTTACTGGCAAATAGCAAGTAATGAAATAACCATCAAAAGAAGTTTGAAGAACTACACTGCCAATGTACAAAAATAATTAGCAGGTATCAAAATATCTCAAAAGGCAATATATGATCAAGTACCAAAAGCACTGAAGGAAGAGGTTCAAAATTAACTGGTGAAAAAGAAAATATCTACAAATTAAGGTAATAATTTTATTTTTCAGCAAAAGGGTATAAAGCTTGAAGTGATCACCTATCTACAATTTAAAAAAATAGAGAAGAAAACTTCTTGATTAATCAAAAATAAGAGATCCATATACATACACATTACAGAGAAATTGATCCAACAGAATGTGAAAAATATTGAACAATATAATTTAATAACATACAAGTAAAATTTGAAGGACATAATTAAAAAAAATCCAAAAATATGGCCGCAATAGCATAGGAAGAGACAACTACCACAAATTCAGATAGACTGGTAGAGTACTTCAAAAAAAGGATTCCATTGCTCATAACACAAAGATCTCCATTGAAAATTGGAGAATAACAAAAATGTATTTAATAGAGCAAGGGAACACTATGGTTCAAAATCAAGAAAGGATTGTGTCAGGGATGCATCCTTTCTCCATATCTTTTCAGTCTATATCCTGAACAGATCATTCATAAGTCTGGACTTAGGAAAAAAGGCCTCTATCCTGAGAACTTTTAGTTAACAGCTGAAAGCCACAAATAACTGGTTTCAATTTACTTCTTCAACATGGCATTAGGAT